TAATGGCATTTGAATTTTTCAAAAATATTTATAGCCCAAGTCAGAGAAAAAATGTTCTGCTAAGCAGAACTGTGTTTTCTAGAGGGTTTAATTCTACTTCAGGCAATTTCTGTATGAAACGACTGTCTCTAAACAAGTAGAACAAGACACTGAAAAACACTCACCCACAGGAGGGAGCTCAGAGGCTTCTCTTTTTCTCACATCAGGGACAAAGAACAGAGCAGCAGAGCATCAGACTGTTCCTATGGGACAGTGACTTCTCCTCTTTTATTTCCCTCCTCTCTCACAAAAACATTCAAGCCACACAGTCCTGCCTGAGCTTTAGGGCTTTGTGGTAGGTCTGGAAGGATTTGGTGAACAGGTTTAAATAAAGGCTCACTTGAAAGCCCACCGCAGGCTGTGGTGTACCATGGATGTCAGTGAGTTTTACCTCTCCTTTATCACATGAGCCCTGGGACAGTAACTTACAAAAGCTCTGGTAAAGGCCACTGAGAGACAGCCAGGCTCAGGAACTCTTGGCTAAAGTTCTTCAGGGTCAGCAGGCAAGGTGAGGTGTCAGGGTGGATATCGCCAAGAAAGTAATGGGTTATTCCGTTTAATGATTCTTATAAAGGTTGAACCAGTATAGTGGCTTTAAAACTGGGAGCAAAATAATTAAAATTTTCTACATCTTGGACTCTTTTATTCTGGCAAATCACAGAATATTCCTGATGAGCACAAACTTTGGGGGCATTGTAAGGCTTTTCTTACAAGCAAAGGACTCCACCGAAGCTCTGGTGTTTGCCTCTGGTCTCCATGTGTGGGAAAATGACTGGGGATAAAAAGATAACAGAACAGACATTATGAGGGAAAATACAGCTCCTTCTCCCTGGACAGAGCGTGGTCAGCATCCCCAAATTCCCACACAGTTTAGGGGGGACTAAACAGAGGGTGGAGTAGAGTGGAGTGGAGTGGAGTGGAGTGGAGATGCTACAGCTGGGCTCTGTTGAAACCCTTTCAGAGGTGGTAACTTGGTGGGACTTTCTGATAAGCCACACAGCATCTGAAAACTGAGGGAGATAAAGATGTCCTGCTGTTGAATCAGCAACTGTGGCAAAACCTCTCTCCTTGGGTAAGGAGATGTACTCTATGCATGTTGAATGATCTTGAGCTGGCTTTTATTGGGGACTAGAGCTTGTTAGAATATTGCTTTGAGTTAATATGTTGTTTGAGTAGTCTTTGTAGTCGGTTACAATCACCTGCAATCCTTGAACCTTAACCTGTGACTGTTTTATTAGAATATTATCCCATAAGCTGTTAATGTGAGACCTTTAAGTGTAAGCTGCTCATCCACAAAGCCAGTGGATGAATGTGTGGAGACCTAGAAGGAGGTTTTTATGTTTGGTGTGTGACCCTGAACAAGTCAGCCAAACCATCCTCTGGCACAGCAGGGCTGTTTTGGGAAGAGTCTCCATGTCAGGACACCAACAGACTGGTTGGGCTCAAGGGATTGGCTTTCCTGGGGCACTGACAGACTAATCAAATACTAAGGGTTTGAGGAAATCTCCCCTTTTCACAGACACCATGACTACAGCCAATCCAGCTGAAGCATAACCCCAATGCTGCTAGGAGAGGTGACTTTCACAAAAAAAGCCAAGCTCATTTCAGAAACTTAATAAAAAGAGAGGAGGACACAGGGAGGTGACAGTCAGAAATCTATCACCTCATCCTGAGCAAACCACAGAGTGATCACAGCTAATCCAGCCTTTCTATGGGGGAAGACAGTGCCTGAAGGGTGAGGTACAGTGAGGGGAAAAAAAGGGACAAAGCCTCCTCATTCAAATCCCAGCAAGAGAATTCTTTAGCAAAGAACAAGCCCCACAATATCTGGAAAGCTCGACATTGTCCTCCCTGTTGTTCAATTTAAGAATCACACAGTATTCTCACTTGAAAAACAGAGCTTTAGTATCCTGAGTGGTGTCTGACTAATAAATCAGGAAGCCAGCTCATCTCCAAGCACAATTTAGACTCTTTCTCACCATGAGCTAGACGCTGTAGTTTTTACCTGAAGCCTCATTTTTGTTTGCTTCAATACACCATCTGAATTTAATATAGGTAGCACTTGTGTGCTTCATTCTGAACTGAACTTCCTAAAATACTGACAAAAAAATTATCAAAATATGGATTTTTAACTGACTTTGGTGAATTTGGTTATGAAGAATAGCTTCTGGTTTTATGAAATGTTAATATCGAGATTGTCTGACAAAGCCATAAGGATATGGAAGTTTGATTCATTGTTTAATATCAAGTTGTAGGTATTTACAACTGTTTAATTTTGCCATTCATGTTATCTGTTATACTCCATCCATGCATTTATTCAGCTCAACAGTTGTATTAGAGAATGTTGAATTCACCTCAACATTTATGCCTGGAAAATGCCTTTAAGGTCACAAGGTGATGATTTTATAAAAAAAAAAACCTTGTTGAAACATTAATTTCTTTTGTGAGGCTGATTTGAGCAGTTACAGTTCTGGGCCTGTGTTAGTGAGGGGATGTGGGTATAAACACCACCCAAGCTATCCTCTCACTATAGATATTCTCTTTTTTGCTAAAATTGGCTCAGGCATGGTCTCTGCTGAACCCCGCTGTCTCTTCTGACCTGAGGACTACAGTCAGTGCCATGCTCTTCTGCCAAGCAAGCCTTTTAGCCACTTGCAGCACCCAGATTTCATGTCACAGCCCCTCCATTTTGCACTGGCAAAAGGGACCAGTGGCAGCAGGGCCCAGGGGGAGGTGATGCAGCAACTATCCCTCAAATATTCCCACTCCTTGGATAGCTGCTCAGTACTGCTGGTGTGCAGCAGTGTCTGTACCCACGCTTAGAGGTCATGCATATTTTGCAGTGTAGATATTTGGCTATCAAAGGTATTGCTGATGTTTTGAGTAAGGACTGGAATTTGCTATATATAATTAACAGTAGGGGGTGGTGCTTTTTTGGATAATGAGATCTTTAGATGCTGGAGGTTGAAAGAGAGTGGAAAAGGGATGCACATATGATATTTCATATAAAGTAGTCTGGTGATAATGCCCAGCTCACGCTCCCTGGACAGGCACTTTGATGTTCAGACCATGCATGAGATGTGAAAGTAATGACTGACAGTCCTGGGACAACACATGGTGTCTAATGAGCTCACTGGGGCTCATCACTCCCAGTTCTGACATTTCAATCTGAGCCACTCAGCTTCTGGGGGTGGGATTCACCCTTTAGTTTGCCCACAGCTCTGTGTCTTTGAAAACTGACCATCTCCAAGTCACCTCCAGAAGACAGAGCTCTTCCCATGTATCACAAACCTCTGAATGCTGTCTGTGGTCATACCTGTCCCCCATGTCTTTCCATTGCTGACTGCCATCCTACTCCAGGGTTTGGCTTGCAAGGCCAGTGTCTGTCACCTCTGTATTCACATCCCACACACATTCAGCATGAGGAGGCAGAGGCAAAAGCATTAGGCTTTGCCTGAGCAGCCACAGCAACTCCTGTTACTGAGCTCCCTGTCAGACCCTGGGGATTCCCTGTCACACGTGTGCATCCTCGAGCTGCTGCGCACGGCATCTGCTGCAAATAACCTGGCTGGAATTGAACAGATGGGCTGAACTCTGATCTTGGAAAGGACTTCTCCTCCTCACCATGGGACCCTGCCAGACATTGCTGTGCATGGGAGCCAATCCAGCCTATCCCAGACAGTAACTGTAGGACTGTGCTCACGGGTGCTACTGGCCCTGAATCCTTACACAGCAAAGATGCTCTCAGCACCCTCACGACTTCTACCAGAACAACAGCTCAGACAGATTTCTGTCAACAGCACAGACATGCTGATGGCAGATTGCATATGCTGCCATTTAAGAACATAAGAATTTTAATATAAGAACTGTTATGTTGTTCCCTTGAAGCCACAATAGACTGTGACTGAACCTCCGTAAAACCTCATATCAATGGAGGAGGGACAGAGGTTCTCAGCAAATACCATTCCCAAACTTTGGATCCCCTGATGTTTTGAGATTTAGGATTTGGGGATTGCCTGTCTTTAAAAGGCAAAATGGTATTTGCTCAGTGGCCTAAGAACTATAGATGAAAATAAGTCCCAGGTTTAGTCATCTTTTTGGTGATTCTGGTTCAGTACATCAACAGGTCTACTCAAATTAATAAATTACTCCATTTAGTATGTGGCATTTTAATATTTGATTAGTTTTTAACTTTCAAATAAAGTCTTTTTTGACAGATGTTTTGTGTCACATTTCCAGGCTTTTAGAAGGTAATAGTGAGTCTCATGACCTTTCCCTTCCCAAGAGTTGCTCAGACACTGAACTCTGGTGACACATGGTGCAAATAATTGTTTCAGCTAGGCCAGGTATTCCAAGCATGGCATTTCATATCCAGTTCACTTTTCAATGGTTTATTTGTAATTTAAACCACAGTTAAAGTTATCCAGCATTTGGCCACTAGGTCAGTAACAGATGACCTTTGCCAACAGCACAATGTGCTTTGAAGGCCAGTAAAACTAGAAAACTGAGAAAAAATTGATAGGTTAAGATGTTGTCTGTGGGAACTGATGCCCATCCTCTGTCCAAACACCAGTTTCCATAATGCAGTGCTGTCATCTGGCTGACCTTTTTCTCTGTTCCCCTGCTGCCCATGGCCTAAAGTAAAAGCACCTCTCTGTAGTCAGAGCTGAGTCTGAGAAAGAAGAAACTCGCAAAAAAATCCTTTCAGAAAAAAAGAAAGGCTTCATAAAAACAAGTCCTCATGCTTTTTGCCTTTGTCACAGCCCACTCTGCGATACCAGCACCATCCAGCAACCCAGGATATTTTGGATACTTCTGCCCTCAGATTCCATCCAGCCTGGTTAGTCCCATCCTCGCTGCAGTCGGGTGCTGGGGGGCACCGGCCTGACCTTGGATTGTTTCTTGGGATCTTCCCCCACAGCAGCACGCCCTTGTCCCCCGTCTGCTGTGCCCCTCGGTCCCTAGGAGTTGCACTCCTCGCAGTGGCAGGAGAGGATGTAGCGGTAGGTGGCCGTGAGCCGCATGCCCCCCGAGCACCGCAGCCTCATGGCCTTCAGCTTGGAGGTCTGGGGCCGGCAGCAGTGGCAGCTGGAGCGGAAGGGCTGCTTCAGGACGGTGCTGAAGGAAACCATCGGCTCCGAGCGCGAGGTCTGGCTGCAGCGGCCTTCGCAGCGGGCCAGCAGCACCATCTGCCAAGGAAAACACAGCGGTTAGCAAACGTGTCCCCAGCACACAGCTGACACCGGCAGGTGGGAGCCTCCTTCCAGCCTGGCTGGGCTCTTGTCACTGCATCCCAGCCCCACACCGTGCTTTGCCCCCGGGCTGTGTCTGAGAGAGTGGGGGACATAAAGTGAGCAGGAGGAAAAGCAAGGCTCCCCCTTCAATCCCTGGCGCTGACACCAACAAGGACAGCAGGGCCTGGTGACCTTAAGGCTCCAAAGGATCTCAGCCAGCCCTGCTTTCCAGACACCGTGACTGCAACTGAGATTTGCTGACTCCAGATCTGGGGCTGTCAAGCCCTTAAATCGTCAGCCAGGCTGATTCTTCGGTTGGGTATTTACCAGTGTTCTGAGTATACACACCAGTGATCAGCAGAACTGGCTCTCATGCCTCAGGTTTAGATATATGGACATGTAAAGTAGAAATATAAAGAAGATGCTCAGTTTATTGCTTTGAAGAAGCATGTTTGAGGTCCTTTGCCGAAGATCTCCTTGAACATGTATTTGCAATTACATGTGTATCTATGTATCAGTGCATCAGCTGTGTCTATATAAAATGCACTGCACAGCATAAGGTATTATTTTCATTAAAATGTAAAAAAAAGTTTAACTGAGGTTGCCAAACATGAAGATTCCCTAGTGAGATTTTCAAAAAACAGTGCTGCTCCAGGTTTCTTCTTCTGAGTTCAGATGTGAGCTGTGACCAGAACAAGGTAACTTGCATGACAGGAGGCAGTAAGGAAAGAAAGTCCATGAGCAGTCACCTACCTACTCCCCAACAACCCCTTGAGCAGAGGAGATACAGCATTAAGCACTACATAAATCTTGGAAAGGACCTTCTAAAGCTCAGCAAATGATGTGTTAGAAACAGCTGTTACCACCTTGATAACGGGTGTTGTACAAGTTTGAACAGGCTCCCATGCTTTCATGGGGACGGAAATATCAAATCCATATCAGCTAATTTTGCTTAACCAACATAAATTTCAATATCAGCTTATTATATCATCTTAAGTAGGCAGTAAAACAGTTGTCTTTCCTATAACCAAGGGAGAGCATTACATTTTAACTATGCTACACATATCTCACCTTTTTTTTTTTCCAGAAAACCTGAAAGAACAACTACAAATGTGACAGCAAATACTTTACAGTGTTAAACCTTTTTGGGCTTCTTTCATTACACAAGCTCAACTGGCTGCAAATCTCTAAGTTATGCAAGCAGGTACATCAAATGTTTAATTTTCTCTTTAGTCAGAGTTGTAAGGAAAGATGACATAAAAGAGAGAGAGAATATTCCTGAAATCAAGTTGGAAATGCCGGCATTGTCTGTGTCCATGGGAAATGTCCTGATCATCCATTGTACAGTGCTTAAAAATTACTCCTCCAAGAATACTTGCATGCTAAATGTTTTGCTTGAAAATGTATTAATGTATTGATGTATCAACAGCTACACTTCCAGTCAACACAGGTCACAAAGATGTCTTCATGAGCTGATGGTCTGTGCTTGGTACCATCATGCTTCTTAGTAAGAGATGGGCTTTTGTCGCTCTCTGACAGATCTGTCATCCTTTAAGGTTTGTAGCATAAATTTGTGGTCTCCTTCCTGTGGTACTGCGTATTCATACATAAATTAACTTCAGCTGTTTGCACTAATATGGTGGGAGGGAAATTTCAGTGTATTGTTGAGTCACTCCTGAGCTTTACACCTATCAGCATACACCAAGCTCCTTAATAGCAGAGTTTAGTGTATAGAGAACATGAAAGGGACAATCACTGCAGTGCTGTCACCCCATTACTCACAGATAAAGATCCACTATTTTTCCCCTCTGGAAACAAGCCTCACTTCCCAGGCAGGCAGCTGGTGAAGGTATCTAATTAAATACCTATAAATAGCTATGCAGATTGGGACATTTAATCCAGCAATTTCCTTCCCAGCATCTTGACATCTCTTGTTAGGTCCCCTGCTTTGACCAGTTCACCACACTGTGCACTCTGTGTTCCCAAATGTTTGGCTGAATCACAGAATCACGTTGGAACAGACCTTGGAGATCATCAATAAATTTTGGGGGTGAAGAGCAATCCAACAGCACCTGACAACTGTTTGAAGGCTTCAAAGACAACAGAGTTGAACTCTCCTCAGGAGTGGTACAAGGAGATGTGCAACAGCCAGAAATTTCTTTTTGGGAGGTTCAGGGTACCCCTAGAGTCCCTTTCAAGCAATCATTTCTGTGATTTCAGCCCAAATGTGACAGCCCACACTGCTGTATGGTGGGGCTGACTTCTGATGCTTCTGGAGTTAGAAAAATCAGTCACTTTCTGGTACAATACCCTAAGAATTCTTATGGCACATGTCTACTCGTGTATCTGCAGGTACTTTCAGAAATGCCAGTAAAAATAAAACATGAAATTGGCATGACTAGAGAAGAGTTGTCCAGAGTAATTATAGGGTAGAATTATGTGATGTGCCAATATCTCTGGCTCAATATATTTCTCATAAACAGCTGGCTTCCTAAGGCAAAGCCAGCCAATATTTAGTCAATGTACCACTGTATTTATAATGTATAATTTATAATTTACAATTTACAATTTACAATTTACAATTTGCAATTTACAATTTACAATTTACAATTTCTAAGCCTTGTCTTTAAAAACTTGTTTTAATCTGTGGAGGCTCTCATTTTAATCTGCAATTTTGCTGGCTACTTAGTTCTTTATAAGATTAAGGTCAGTGTTTATATAATGTAGATGTTACAAAAACCAATACAGTGTTGGTTTTATGCCTTGTTTTTAGATTACAGTGTAAACTCTTACCAATGGCACAAACCCAAGGTTATCAAGTTGAACTTTCAGGCTAAAAAAATTATCAGATTTCCCATTTTCATAGCTTTCTAACCTTCTGGGCTACCTAAAGTCCTACCTAAAATTTACCTTCCTCTTCATAAATCCAGAACAGCCAGTGGATTTTGGCAGGTGTTCAAATGAGCTGGAAATAGCATGTACTTTGAAAGCTTTGCTTTGCCTTTTAATCAATTGCACCAGCTGCTTGTTGCTTTGTGTATTATAGTGCAATAGAGATTATCACCTAGATAATTAGTAATGCTATGATGGCATGGCACAATGATACAGTGGGTGTGTATATATAGTAAATACATGTGGTTGTTTTATAACCTGACACCTCTTGGCTCCCCTTGGCCCCTGCACATATGAATTTGTGCATGTCACCTTGCAAGGTTGGATCCAGAAGCACAGTGTCCTACAAGGGAGCCACGTGGGTCTATGAACAGCTAGGGAAGAATATTATTATCATTATCATTATTTTTATCATTATTGTTATCATTATTGTTACCATTATCGTTATCATCATCATTATCATTATCTTTTTATTGTTATCATTATTTAAAGTCAATGGTCTCATAGGTACAAAAGACAGAAACCTGAATCTGAGGCAATATTTGACTCTGATTGTTTGAGCTGTATTCCGGAAATCCAGAAGCTGTGAACTGTTTTTTTATTAATGGCATTTGTAGTCCTCTTTTCTGCACCTTCAGCAACAAGCTGAAGCTCAAAAGCAGATGGGCTGAGATGCCTAAGAACAGATTTTCACACAGTTCCTGTGGCCTGGCTGCAAGCAGGCATTACTGAAAATCTCCTGAGCTACCTCAGGAGTAAATGTCTTCGAACATCTGCTAAATCTTTCTTCATCTGTTCTGTGTCTCCTTGGGCTGGATTCTTTAGTGCAAGACTGTCAAGCACACTTCTGGCACATCTGGACGAAGCACTTGTGACAGCCAAAACTGGAATTTAGGAGACTCTGGGAGCAGTGAGGGAACCCAGCACATTGATGGAGACCAGTGGGTCTCTGTGACAGAGGTCAGGGTAAATCAAATAAAGTCAGGAAAGATAATACCTCATGAGTTGATACAAATATTTCCTTGAAGACAAAGGGAAACACTGCTTTTCTGGAAAAAATGGCCTTCTTCCATCCCTCCTTTGTGTCTCTTTTGTATGTTTTGTTACTATAATAGACTGTTTCCAAAGGATTTGGAAAATTGTTTTCATTGCCTGCCTGAGGCCGTAAGCAAAAGGGATTTTAATGATTAAATTATCCTGACTGGATGTTTAATGAAACTGCTTCCCATGTGGGTACAATTGGCAGCCTCCACAGAGAAACACAGTGGACGTAATCCTTTTTCAACCAGGACAGACAGCAAACATAATATGTCTTGCAATTTCTGAAGCCACTTTTAACTTCTGTAACTCTACACTGCACCAAAAAAGAAAACATATGGAGAGAGAAAGAATATCTCATGAAACCAGTCTAGCACCCCAAAAAAGGGCAAAGTCTCTGCTTGACACTGACAGTCCAAGCTTCCACAATGGAAACTTGGTGGAAACAAGAGGTACCACAATTCCCACAGCAACTCCCACAGAACTTTCCTTTTTTGTCTTGGTTACATTTTATCACAATATATACAATACAGACATTGCATCCAGTTTTAATTAGCATGTCTAATATTCCTCTGTGTTTATATGCTACTAGGTCCAGAACAGAAGCCATACATCTATCAGAATGATTCAGACACCCAAGACCTTAAAACTAAACCAAACCAAACCAAACAAAAAAAAAAAAAAACCAACCACCAAAAACTAAACAAAACAAAAATAAAATAAAACAAAACAAAAAAAAACCCAAACAACAAAAAAATTACTTTGATTTAAGAGAGTTTTCTAGGAAATTATTTCACTTTGTATGGAAACTGTTTTCATTTTTCACTTAATGAGAAAGTCCAGACAATTCACAGCATTGTTATAGAAGTGTGGTTGAAACTGTTGTTGAATTTGGGAAGCCAAATTATGTGATAATATCTTCAAACATGATTTCCATCAAAGGCTTGATTTGAAAATAATCACTGACTTTTGCAGCCAGAATTATGAATGTGTATGCCAACAGCTTTTTTCCCCTCGAAGCTCAG